GGAATATTTCACACTTGAATCCCTTTTCTTGTCTCTGTGGAAACATGGCCCATTCACTCTTGCACTACTTCTCTTAGCATTGTAACATATAATGGGGATGGATACAGAAACATCACTTCTCTTCGGAGCTGCTCAGAGTGGGGCAGTGTAAATGGGAGGCTCATTGAGCCCTCTCTGCGTTGCAGGTCTTCACCAGGGGTTTATGCCTTTTGACCCAGCTTCCTGCAGGCCTTTTTTTCCTTTTTTTTTATTCCTTCCATGCTGCTTTATACACTCAAAACCATCACAAGTTTGAAGCTCTAAGAGGGATTTGGCCCTGGTGTGACTAAAAAAGGGGGAACCAGGGAGCTGGGTAGCACTGGGAAGAGGGTGCTGCCTCCTTTGAGTAGGTGGCAATGGCTGGTTTGGCTAACTATGTCCCTAATCCCCACCAGCGCATCCTCAGGGCAAGCAAGGCTTGCCAAGGTCCTGATAGCAGCAATACAGGCGATAATGCCATGGCCTTTTAACCATTCCTGGCAGGCAGCTGCCCAAAACAACTGTTCCCTTGCCAAAGCCTAGAGCTGGTCTGGCAAACACGTCTTCTCCCAGGTGGCTCTGTAAGAACTGGATACCCTTTCCAGCTGCCTGTGGTTCACTCCTGCCAAAGTAATAAAGGTTGTGTGCTGCAAAGGGTGGTACAGACTACACCACTGGGACACAGCACCAGCATCATCACCCTTGATGCAAGCAGGAGAGACCACCAAAAAATCAAAACCATACTGGCAGGTATGGTCATGCAGCCATCCTAGTATTAGGGACTGGGATGAACCGTCTGTTAGGGAATTTCCATCCCATCACCTTACTCCTGGCAAGCACCCGGGAACAGACATGCAAAGCAGACGGCGCTGGCAGCCAGCATCTACGGGGAAACCGTGATAGCACTGGGGCTGCCAATGTTTCACTGCTCGAGGACTGCAAGCCCAACATACGCCCTCACTTTATCTGGGGGGCTAGAGCCTGCAGAAAAGTATCAGGCTGTGTGTAGGATAGCAGTGGTGGTGGCATGAATGTAGAAGAGCTGGCTCTGAGGACACAGGTGCATTGTAGCGCTCTGAGTAAGGAAACAGTCTTGGCATGGATTTGCATGTCTTGGGTTATGTCTCTGCAGAACCAGGAAGCAAAAACCAAAGTGGATGGAACAAAAAAACCCCAAACAACAGGACTGATCTGTTCCCAGAGAGACATACATTGTCTTGGATCAGGATAGGTGCAGGTGTCAGTGTGATAGAGACATCTATTCGCGACTAGGGTTGGCCACCTGCAGCTGAAGTTCCATCAAAAGGTGGGGTAACACCTCTGCCTGCAGGAACAACCCTAGCTACCACAGGACTGTTTCAGGCAGGCAAGAGGATGCTGAGCTCATCTCCTTGCTCCCTTGAATTTCAAGGACTCTTGCAAATACCAGAGCACAGAGGTTATGTGAATACAAATTACATTAGCATGCTGAGTAAATTTGTCAGCAGTTTCTTATTAAAGCACTTGGTCCCCTCTGTAGTGGGCATTTCCATTCAACCTCCCCCTCAGTCACAGCTAACAGTCAACTGGGCTCTCCATTTATCCGAGCTCGTGTAAGAAACAGTGAGAGGGTTGATTCCAATATTCTCTTTCTTGTCCCACCACGCACAAGCTGTTGCTACTTATTAAACATTTTAAAATCCCTGCTGCCAAAGTCCCCAGGAGACATTTATCTGCCATAGTCATAAACGACTTGCCAGCATGCTATTCAAAACTGCATTTCCCAGCCAATAAATACAAGCTCCAGAATCAGGAAAAGCAGGGTTTGGCTCTAATTTTCAGTGGTATGTCACTGGGATACTATAACTACTTTTAAATTCAAATCAGCTTCCTAGAAATTAACTGGTTTTATCAGATACAGCACAGTGGACTGTTAAACACGTAGCCTCATGTACTGAAACACTATACATTTAATGAAGTTATGCCATTAGCAAATGTACAACATGGGTGCATTAAATCCACCTATAGAACAGCTCTACGTATGAGAGAGAGGATTTATTTTAGCTTTTCTCAATAGAGCAGGAGTCCCTTTTCTTGGCTTTTGCTACGTTATTTAACTAAAACCAGGATTTGCGCACACACAAAAAACCCCCAAAAGTATCTACTCTCATAATAAAAAAAGATTGATTTTTTTTCTTTTTTTATTCCAGTTCAGGAAAGAAGAGAATCATCTTGCAAGGTAATATAATCAGCTCCTTTGCCTCTATAATCTACTTCTGCTCAGCAGGAGCCCCCAAAAAAACACTTTATGTCCCAAGTGAAATGTGAAAACTGCTTGTAAGGTCTCTTTTGAGGCACATGATTTGGACGGTCACTTTTGGAATATCAGAATCAGCATTGTCTTCCGTCTCCTTTCTTTCCAGGAAGAGCTCTCCGGCATGCCGCGTGCTCCCCATGTTTCGGGTGGAAGGCTATCTGTCCCTGCCCCAGGTCAGAAAGGGTTAGGATGACACAAGTTAGCACAGACACCCATTTCGCACTTACACCTAAGGACGTACGTTGACAACTCCCCACTTCAAATTCCTCACAAAGGTGTGTGTGTGGGGAAACAAACAAAAAAAAAACCAAACAAAAAAAAGGACAAGAGACAGTAAATTTCACTGTGATCACACTACAGCAAAATATACCTTCTGTTCCTTGCAAAAAATGTGTGAAGGCCAAATTAAAGAGGGAAAAAAGTATGTTGCATGAGTTACAGTGCAACTGTATTATTCCTTCTCTTTCTATTTTCCTCCCCCCCCCACCTTGTTCAGTTTAGAAAAAGGATAGAGTACAACACAGTCAGGTAAGTGGCCACAAAAGAGTAGCTGTCTTTGGCAAGAAGTCACCGCATTGACCCTCTCTGTCACCTTCTGCCCATTTCGCTCTGTCTCATGAAGTGGATGTTGTTGGCGCTGTCTGAGAGTTCAGGGTACTGCTCCACTGAGATCACAAAATAGCCATCGTAGCCCTGTACCCGGCCTGTGTTCAGCACTTGTTGCTTCTCCCCTTCTGTCCACGAGCGAATACCCTCCTCCCCATCCCGCAGTCTCTGCTGTTCCCGGGACCAAGCTTGGGTGACAGCGCGCTGTCGGGCCAGCTCCAGGACGCGTGCCTTCTCCTCGTCCAAGGTGGTCCCGTAGCGAGTGTTTAGACACAGTGCACCATACTGGAGCTGGATGTCTGTGTAACGTCTAGTCCTTCCATTCAGCACTGTGTTGATCTGGGACACTGTCACATTCACGCCATTCTCCAGGGTCCTCCGCCCACCACTGAGGCCCAAGATGGACAGGTCACCCTCTGACGGCCCCTGCTTAATGAAATAGTGTGTGTCCACCCCGTCGATGGTGAAGTGCAAGTTCTCCAGGTAATGGGCATTGTTCAGGATGGCCGCGATCCTCCGCCCATCCTCGTTGGCCACGCTGATAATGTCAGTGGCCACGCGCCCGTCCTTCATGGCGAACTTGACGCCCTTGCCAAAGATAGAGCCTCCAGAAGCAAAGTTCTTGTTCCTCTTGACATGCCGACACCCAGCAATGCTGGAGCTGTAGATCTGTTCGAAGCGCTCAAGAGTGACAAAGGCCTTCAGCTGCTTCTGCACTTCACATTGGACCCCCAAAATTGACTGAGCAGGGAGAGAAAGAGAAAGACATATTAGAAAGAGATGCCTGATGACCCAAAGGCACTATTAGAATGCTGGAGACCAGCAGAACATCCTGGAAATATCTGATGAGGAGCTCCATTATCTTTTTTCCTTATCACCTTTTTTCAGAATTTTAATTCTTTTTAATAGAAGAGACATGTCAAGTTATTCCCCCTAATCCTTATTGTTTCAATGAACTAAACTGTATTTAACTGTCTTTAATGAAGGATGTAGAGGAGAAAAGGATTTTTTCCCTCCGTGGTGTGAGGGTTGAATTTAGACACATAATTAGGTCGTGTTTCAGTGTTCTTTTCTGCATCTAAGAAACAATTCATCTTGTGGCCAGATGCTTTACCAAATGCTTTCAGGTTTTCTGTGTAGAAGTGTAGAAGTATTTGCAAAATTCCCTCTATTTTAACTTCACTTTGTAACTCCTTGTGGTGCCTTCAAAAGCCCAGCATGACCTGTTTGACCCTCTAGAGGACCGTAGCTAGTGTATATCCCACTTCAGCTTGGTCAATGCAGGTTGTTCAAAACTCAAGGAAGGCACTAAATCCAAGTCCTATTTCTTGTAAACCCTCTACAATGTGCCAGGCCCCCTGAGCTAAGGCCAGCCATGCCTGATGCTCAAGTTTTGGCTTATACTGAAGCAAAACTGCTGAGATACAACAGCCTGGATCATTTGCAGTCAGGTACAATACAAAGTCACTTTTGCTGTTAGCATATAATGGAGCAAGCACACAGCGAGTCAGCAGCTCATCATTACTGCAAAATGTATTTGGAAATGTTCTCATCAATTCATGGCAGTGCAGGCTTCTTAGAGACTCCTGTTCACAAGCAATTATTTGCTCAAATTTCACAAAAGCAAGAGGGTGCTATGACAAAACTCTCCTGGCACTGCCAACGGCTCAGTTCAATAATGTAATGACACCCAGGATTAAAAATAGGCTACAAAGAAAAGTTTGCTGCACTCCAATTATTTTTGAGGAAATTTAACATCCATGAAAGATATTGCCTTAAACCATCCATAAGCTGAAATCTCACATCCTTCCCTGGGTGCAAGAAGACCATTCAAACAATGCAGGCTTTTCAGCACGGACCTCTCAAATAAGACCTGTGACATGGTGAGGGAAGGGAAATAAACCCTCATTTCCATGGTGGCCATTTCCATCGATGAGTCTTAAAGTATTAAAAAAAATTTAAAAAAAGATTTAGTGTTGCAGCTCATCCAGAGGTTATGAGCGGTTTTGATTGATAAAGGAGAAAACGATAAGGAAATAGAGGTACACAAGTTCAAGAGCACATTTGGAGTTGTAAAACATTAAAATACCCAGAACTGACTTTTATTCAAAGTGCTGAGCAGGTTCGTGTACCTTCTTCTCCCTTCTCCCTTTTGATTGACAGCACAGCAGTTGGAGCAGGAATCAGCTGCCTATGAAAGAGGAGCTCTTTCTGGTTCTCCCCATCCTGCCTGTGGGGCATCTCACACACCGCCTAGAGAGTGGTATAATTAACAGACTGATGGGGAGCCGAGCCCAGCTCCCCTGCCAATTGCACAAGTGCTCTAATTATGCAAAAAATGGACGTAATTAATGTAGATGTCACCGATGATGGACATGAAGCAATTAGGTTTCTATGCTCTGTGAAACACTTACTGTTCTACATAAGCGCACACTGCACAGCCTTGGCTATTAGCTATTTCCTCTTCAAAGAGATTTAAATGGAGAGTTATTCTTCTCAGGTATATCTTATATGGGTTGACTCTAGATGGTCCCACTACCACTATATATGTCACGTTTCTCTTCCAACTCTCCTCAGTAACATTTACAAGTGATGGGAAAAGACATTTCTCACTACTCATACTGAATCACTGTTCACTGAAGGATGTAAATCCGTTCTGTGCTACATTGCTATGTCCTGTGATCACTTATGTATCACCATCTATATACACATCACCTTGTTTACCGGCAGCTGAGTGATAATTCCAGTCCCTGGAATTAATTGCATCGTCTATTTATTATCACATTGGGGAAGGGAGCTCAGGGAGGTCAGACAGTGCTGACCATGGGCAAATACCTCCTATCAGAGATCTCTCCCATTCCCATTCTATTTTGTCTTCATCCCTCTATTCTTGATGAGCTGCAGGAACTCTAGCACCTTTTTAATTCTGAGCATATTATTCTCTGTGAGTGCCTCCAAACTAGGTAGCCCCAACAAACCAGTGGGTCTGGACACCACTGGACACCAACTTCACAGACGGAGACCTACATTTAGGTGTCTTAATGAAGAACAAAATCACAACCAAAGGTTTATCTCCTGGGGACTGGTTACTTCTGGTTACTTTTTTTTCACATAGGGAAGTAGGAGATGCCTACAGAGCTGTAATGCTGAACATCACCATCACTTAAAATCACAGAATCATAGAATGGTTTGGGTTGGAAGGGAGCTTTAAAGATCATCTAGTTCCAAACCTCCTGCCATGGGTAGGGACACCTTCCACTAAACCAGGTTGCTCAAACTTAACTATTAACTATTTCAATAATGAAAGGCATCTCTGTTATCTTGCAAACAAGCCCAGGATGACTTTCAAATGAATTTGTGAGTGCATTTCTTTGACAAAAGAGTGTATTTGGGAACAGCCCTTTTTTTTTTTTTAAAGGAAGAGCAAACATATCCAACAGAAAAAAACCCCCAACCAACAAATTCAAGCACACCAGAGCACAGACAGCTTGTTTGCTCTGCTGTGAATATAAAGAGGGTGGAGGCAAACAGATTATATGCAGTTCAAAGAGGTAGTGTACCCCTGACTTTGAAATCACCATTTCTGTTTACTCTTAGAAGTCATTTAAATGTAGTGTCAAGGAAAAGTAGCAGAAAATTTCCATCCAAAGCTGCAGTGGCATGCACTATTCTCTAAAAAATACTGCTGCCTTTATATAGGTATATATGAGCATATATAGGCATCTCTAAAACCAATTTTACAGAAGAAAGAAGGTAATTCATAGTTATTTTATTTCAATATTTGTTGCATGATGTGAGTGACAAATATACTGGGTTTGTTTTTCCTCAGTCTTTTTTAATCAGATGTCCTCAGGTGACATTTCACTTTATCTAGTAACAACCCATTGGAGAGAAGAAAACGACCTTCATCATTTGTTTGCTGCTGCATGGAGCTCAAGAGAATGGCACATTACAGAGATCTCTGAATAGCCTCTCGCATTTTGCCAGCACCTCTTGAGGATTTGAAATACCATCGCCAGATCCTATCATCTGTTGTTTTTAAATACCGCCTTCCAGTGTGAGACTGAAAGCTTTAATTTCCCATCAAGGATCCAAGATGTGAAATACGTGAACATGTTTCCAAGTTTCTTTCTATCCTCGTGCCATTATCCACAGATAGGTGTTTCTCTTACCACCATATGGCCTACAACGCAGAAAGCCATTTCTTCCAAAAGGCTTGGAAGTTACAACTTCTCTGAAATATTATTCATTGTTAACTCCTTCCTACTTATCATAGAATCATAAGTTTGGCTTGGAAGAGACCTTAAAGATCATCTTGTTCTAACCCCCATTGCCATGGGTAGGGATGCTCAAACAGGTTGCTCAAAGCCCCATCCAATCTGGCCTCGAACACTTCTGGGGGTGGGGCATTCACAGCTTCTCTGGGAAACCTGTGCCAGTGCCTCACTACAATCTGGGTATGGAATTTCTTCCTAACATCTAACCCATATATCTCCTCTTTTAGTTCAAAACTGTTCCTCCTTGCCTTATCACTATTTGTCTGTGTAGAAAGTTGCTCTCCCTCCTTTTTACAAGCCTCCTTTTTATTTATCCCCTAGCTCTCTTGTAACAAAGCCATTCTGCAGATATCAGCCTCTTCCCTCCATTCCACCTGTTCATCACCAGGAGACAAGTCCCCATTCAGATGTCCCCCACCAGTTTCCAGCTGGTGGATATGCAGGAGGAGTCCACCACCCTCAACAGCCTGGCAGGTACCAACTGATCAGCACAGCTGCACTGCATGCTGGTTGGCAGAGAGGCAACGTGTCTGCTCAGCCACCTGCCAACCAGCAGTGCAAGTGAGGCAATGGATGTGAGCCACTGGCCACCAAGGCCAGTGCTCTAGATGGTGATTGGGTGGCAATGAGTGAAACAAGTGCTAACTCATGGGCTTAGAGGAGACGTCTCTCCTCCACCCCACCAGTGTACATGGCTGCATAGGGATAATGAGGTTGAGTTCACCAAGCAGATTTAATCTGAGGACAGATTCCTCCTTTCTCTTGCTCATCTCTTTTCACATTGCACATCTATTTTCATAAAGTTTCAAGAGCTTAATGTCTTTGAGACTTCAACTCCCTTCCCTGTATTAGATCCTTTGAAAACTGACCACTACTTTTGCTGATGGACTACAGGGGCTGAAGCCCAGGCCAAAGCACCTGCAGTGTCAAGATGCCCTCCCTGAATGACGAACAGTGTCAGGGCCAGTCCATCAAACAGACTGTCCTGGGGAGAAGCTCTGCCAGAAAGCACAGCCCTACAGCTCACTCCCTGGCTGAACATCCCAAAGCAGCCCTTGCCTCCAAAATGCTGCTCCAGAGGGGATGCCAGCAGAGCCTGTATCAGGTGCTGCAGAAAACAGGACTCCTCCTGGAGCCACAGTGCTCACAGGATGAAGAGAAGGGTGGTTAATATGATGTAGATAATGATACAAGTGCTGACTCCAAAACACCCCTCCCTGCAAATAGAGTTGTTCTGGCTCTAACAATTACCTGACAGTTCAACAAGACAAAAGGGAAGGGAAAAAAAACAAACTAGAAGAGAAATTGGATTCAGGTGCAGCAGTTCCACAATATGCCAGAGGTCACCCAGAGTCCCCTGGTGGCCAATAACACTGAATTTGTTCAACAAACAATTTAGTGACAGCCTCGCAGTC